AACCATTTTTTTTCATTTCCTCCATTGTATGTGTGCAGGGTAAACATTTGAATTTGAGTATGTTAAATTTAGGCGAAAATACCAAAAAACGCCCTGAGCTTAAGTGGTTTTTAAGGTCATCATCAAATCCGATTGATTTCTTAGTCATTGATTTTTAAAAACATCCCAAAATGAACGACCTCAGCATCAAAAATATCTGATCTGAATGCAGTGTCCAAGTTACCGATGGAACATTTTTCTTTAACGTTATTTAATGAATTTAAAGTCAGAGTTTTAATGGGAGGATACTTGACGACAGGGAGGTTTGTATAATTCATAAGGCCTGAGCTGTTGGATGAGTTTGACCTGCTGGGGATAGGAAATATTACTAATATTATTTAATATTAAACATTTACTTGCTTGCTTGTTTTTTTTTTTCTGGGATGTGCATAAGAGTATCCACATAATCAATTGAGATGAAGACCAGGAAGTTATGCCCTCAACAGAAGGCAGAATATTAATAATCAGGTATTTAATTAACATTATATTCAGATAACATATGACCATGTTCTATTTTATTTTGATATTTTTAATTGATCTCTCTCTCTCTCTCTCTCTATTTTATTTTATTTTATTTTATTTTGACCTCATATGATCTGAGAGACTACATTGAATATATACATTATAAATAAAATATTATTTAAAAATATGTATTACATAATTAATTAAATAGTGAGTAGTGAATATATATATATATATATATATATATATATTAAAACTAAGAAAATTTAAATTATAATAATAATATACTGTATATGAATGCTGTATGTAATATTGAGGAGTTAAAGGACCTTATAATTTAAAAATTAAATCTTGATCTTAAAAATTGATATTGATCTTGATTAAAAAGTTGATTAAAAAACCCATTGCAAGTGAGGAAACATATCATCAAATATGCTGATGGTTTCAAATCACTGGCACCAGTTTGATATAAATCACAATAATCCACACTTACACAATGAGAAAAGTATTTATAACAACAAAAATTGTCGTGGCTGAAGATATCTCTCAATGTAAATTCAAACACTGTTTTAATTATATATTAGTTATCAATAAAAATGCACTTTTTGGATAAAGAGAAAGAGAATAACTCTTTTTCTTTAAAGAGAAGATACCCGTTTGATTTATGCCATTTAAATATCCTTTTATCACTGATGAAGAGGCAGTGCTGTGCTAAAAGCTAATTAGGAATTAATGATATATGCATAGTCAATTAAAAGACAGTGAATGACTTCAAGGGGACGCATAGACGAGACACAAAGCTCTTATCTGGAGTCAGTTTTCTGAGTTCAGAAATCATTGCAGTGTCTTTCTATCTGTGGAGTCACTCTTTACAAAAGCTTATATGTTGATGAGATGCTTAATTAGGTAGGGAACATCTAAAAACCACATAGTGGATTCACTGAACAGTTGCTTTAGTGTGCAGTATTTGTTGAGAATTTCATCTACAATTTTGCATCTTATTTACCAATCACAACAATCAAGTTCTATGAGGCAAGTGTTTGAAATAAAGCTTAAGATTTTGTGATTGTTCAAAAGTTTGCACTATTCCTCATAAATCGGTTGCTAAAAACACTGTTTGCAGTATATCCAAACAGTGTTATCAGTGGTCACAACTCTGCAAAATCCTCCCATTGTGCTGATCCTAACACTGCAGCTGATGTATTTAAAAACGTAAATGTAAAAGGAGGCCAATTAGGAGGATTCATCATTCGTTCTTGATAAATCAGGAACACATGGTCAGCCACACCTCATTGACTGTGCCATGGACATGGGCCAAATCACAATAAGAAGCAGATGTCTATGGCAGTATGAATAACCAGTCATAGTGTCAGACTCTGTTCCATGTTTTGTGTGTGTCCCGCTCCCCAGGTGTTTCCCTTGATGTTTCATTGCTCCCAGGTGTGTCTCGTCATCCCCTCCTCCTGTGTGTATAAAAAGTGTTCCCAGTCCCAAGTTCTCTGTCTGCTGTTAAATGTCTTCCTGAGTTTGTCTCCCGTGGTTCCTGAAAATAAATTCTTGGTAAAAATATTCTCCAGCGTCTCCTCGTTCCTCGTGTGTGTGCATCGTGACACATAGAGTGGACAGCATAATATAGGAAAAATCTCAGAGAATACAATAAATATGGTGTGAAGAGAATGAACATGTTTAAAATAATAATAATGACAATAACTAATATTTAGAAAATAGTAGTTATGTACAGTTGTAGTTATGTACATCCATTTTGGGAAATGTTTCTGTTTATCTGGAAGCTGTTTCTATTTTTCTACAAACCAAATCTGGTGAGAAAAGTGTCACTCGTTAGTAAAATATGTAAAAAGTGTAGGCAAAATAAGCAAAGGTTTCAGCCTACACGTTTTTCAGTCATTATGTATCTTTTGAATTTATAATTTAAAAATTGTCAGTGAGCAACGAAATAAAATTGATTGAATTTGAAGTAAATAGCTAACTGCGTTAAAGTTTACTATTCAAAAGTTCAGTAAGAGGGTCAGTAAAGTATATATGTATGTGCAAAAATGGTGCTAGAACCATAAGAGGAACCCCATTCTCCTCCTTAGATTTTAGATATGTTAGTCCACTCTCATACGTTTGCTATGAATGGGAATTTACTACAATGGCAAAAGCTGTTTTAAATCACTTTTATGCTTTTATGAGATCAAAAGGTCTTGTGCGGCGGCCCTGGAATATTTCCTTATAGGGGGCTTGGGGGCAAAAAGGTTGCGAACCACCTTATCTTCAGGAAATACACTGTATTTTAATATTGTTTTAATCCTTTCCCCAACTTAACTAAGAGACTAAGAGAGAGTTAGAGAACCTTTAAAGAACTATACAGGGGCTTAACGGATTCTTTGTATGGCAGTATATAGCACCTTACCCACCCCAAAGAACAGCTGAAGAACCAAGTGTGTGTGTGTGTGTGTGTGTG